TTTAGGGCTGATAATTATTCATGGGTGAGTGGATTATTCACCCGTCCTGAATAAAAAGATGAAAACTCGCTGTGAAACGGATGATTGACGGGTGATGGGTCAAGTCGAATATGAATGAAATTTTTTTGACCCATCACCCGTAGCATCCATCCACCCATTAATATATTCATCTATCCATATTATATATATATATATATTCCTATTACATATGAGAATAGAGTTTTGTTGTTGTTGTTGTTGTATATATATATATTAAAAAAATAAACGGATGATTGTAAATATTCTTATTCACTTAATTCTGACTTTTATCCCATTAAAAATTTGTCTAATTTTTTAATATTGGGTTATCCCTATTGATAATATGATGAAGAGGACTTTTGAGAAGTGATAGTTTGTTGATGAAGATTTGAAGATTATATTTGGTGTACAAGACTATACATGATGCATCTATTCACTTGAAAAATGTATCACAAACATAGTGCACAAGACTATATAAACTATGTTCCATTTTGTTTTTGTTTGAATTTGATGAAAATTTATTGTTCATGTTTTGGTTTCTATGAATGTTTGAGTGTCAATGTTTGGTTTATATGAATGTTAGAAGAATTTGAGCTTAGGATGTAAAAATAGGTTTTGTTCATAGTATCATCCATTTCTCATCCGCTCCACTCGCTGATGATAGATAGAGCAGATATGGATGAAATTTTTTATAGGTGATGGATGCTGTGGATGGTGATTTGGACCACTGGCGCTGGGGCGGATGAAGCTCCACCCGACCCATCTCCGATTCATTGCCAGACCTAGTTGGGTTGAGTTTGATTTTCGGTTAATTTCATTCGATTTTAAATGATCTCACACTTAAAGCTCAATATGACTTGAGTTTAAGGATGATTTCAACATATTTGAACTCGACCTGAGTTTAGAGATAAAACCCGAAACGGATTTGATTTGACCTGAACTAATGTATTTATAAAAAAATATTTTTTTATTCAATAAAAATATAAATCTAATTGAAAAAATAATATAGAGAAAGTTAATATTGTAATTATCCTTAAATATAGAAGGTAAATTTATATTATTTTCGGGTTGGGTTGGATTGGGTATTTTTCATCTTAAACTCGAATCCAACCCGAACATATTTTCCAAAAAATCGACCCAATCTAAACCTAATTTTTTTTAGAAAAATTGACCCGATCCAATTAGGTCGAATCGAAACCGTTGATTTCGGATGCGGTGTCCATCCCTAGTTGTGGTTTTTATTTGAGCCCCCTTTGCTCTTTTATCCGAAGTGTATTTCCTCCATCTTCCGGCATGTTTTCTTTTTCCATCAGAGAATGAATTCTCCCTCTCCTTGGCTTCTGCAAATCTGAAGCTTTCTGCTTATCTTCTTTTATGCATAAGTTTAATGAAAACAACTGTTCATTTATGACCAGTACCTGTTCTTCATAAATGACCATTTGTCAGAATTATTAAAGCCTTTGTCCATAAACAAACACCTAGACCTCGTACTAATTATATATATATGATAAATTACGTATTTAATTACCTAAATATCACTTTGGTTTTATTTTGATCATCTAATTATTATTTTTTAAATCTTATTTAAAGTTATATTTTTGTTTTGTTTTGATTACCCACCGTTAAAAAAATAAACATAACTATTGACATGACAATTTTTTTTTATTTTTTAATAATGATATGATATTATCTTATGATAATATGTCCATATTAACGTTAAATTTTTAATAACGGATGATCAAAACGTAATTTTTAAAAAAAATAGTTAAGTGATTAAAATAAAATTAAAATGATAGTTGAGTGACTAAATAATTTAATCATATATAATATATACAATTAACTTGTATGATGTATGCATGTAAACTAATTAAATTAATATTATAGACATTTTTTAAAAAAAATGTTATTTTTATTACTGAATTTGACCTAACTAACTATATTTTTATTATTTTATTTTATTTTTTTCTTAAATATTCGTGTTTCGTGAGCCGCTTTAGAATATTTTGGAGTTGATGGCTTAGATTTAATAGGTTGAGTGATTCGTTTTCATGAGGTGAGGTCTGACCTTATTCTCAAATCCCATTGATAGATATCATAAACGATTCCGGTTTTATTTTATTTTAAGGGTAAAATGCACAAATGGTCCCGTGATTATAGGTTATTTGACCATTAAAAGTTATAAAATGGTCATTTGACTATAGAATGTTACTTTACTAAGTCCCTTGACTATCAAAAGTTACAAAATAGTCATATGACTATTCATTATGTTCCAAACTCATCCTTTTACATTAAAAAATTGGCGATTGTTTATGTTGTACGTTAACACGATGACTGCGATATAATAGTAATTTGAGATTATGAATAAGAATTTATCATATCACAATCAACATGTTATTGTTCAACTCAAAATACCATCCATTTTTTAACAGATCAAAAGGACTAGTTTGAAACATAATGAATAGTCATGTGACTATTTTGTAACTTTTAATAGTCAGAGAGACTCAACAAAGTAACACTCAATAGTTGGGGGACAATTTGTGTATTTTACCCTTATTTTTACAACTTTTAATAGTCGAAAGACTTATCTTATAGTTGGGGACCATTTGTGTACCCTTATTTTAAATAGTGTTTTAAGTTTCAGCGTTTTATTTTTAGGTTAAATTAATAAACAACTCTATTTATTGTTGATAATGGTCATGATATATCATGTTAGTATGTAAGCATACATGACCAATATCCTGCAAAACGATTGACCTCGAACCGACTTGCATTGTATATCCAGTTTTGGTGAGTGAGTCTCTCAACGTAAATTTTTTACATACACAATGACTCGAATCCGATACCATACTTAAACAATATCAATCTACTTATCTCTTGAACCAATTCACATTGATTTTAAATAACAAATTTTGAAACTACTTATACACAACTTTCTTCCTTGTTCCCCCCCCCCCTTTCTTCTTTATTTGGTGTTTCTTCCTTCCCTTTCCCTTGCTTTTTCTTTCTTCTTTAGTTTGGTGTTTGTAGGGCAAACAATGACATTATATCCCAAATTCATAGGTTTGGAGATATATTGACACAGCATTAATTGCATCTTTCTTTGTTACAGCAATAGCATTTATTAATTCAACCTTTTATCCAAGCTTTTTGGAAATGATTCAATAACTCCAATTCTTTATGCCCTCCAAACTGTTGATTAATACCTGCCTGGTGGTGACATTGGGCAATATAGATATTAAACCATTAAATTATTATTAAAGATGATGATTTAGTAATTATAAAAGGAAAATAAACATGCAACGTTTTAGTATTTATCAAAACAAATAAATAAACGTTTGCTTTCGGTTCAGGTAAAATTGGGTTCGTGTCAATATTGTTCCAACTAGAATTCGAGTAAATTTTGATTAAATTTGTTTTGTTTTGAGTTTTATATCGAGTTTAGGTTCATATAAGGTCTCGACTTGGGTAAATAAGTTAAAGTAATAGAGTTCGAATCAAATTTATTAGATATAATTTTGTTCCATCCATGGGTGGAACCAGGGAGGGGCAAGGGAAGCCTTTCCCCCGTTAATTATATTTTTAATTATTAATTAATATAGAAAATATATATTTTTAAAAAATAAAAAAAGAAAAAATTATCAGGTCCCCTTAATTAAAAAATTGTATTTATGAAAATAAAAAATATTTTAGACCTGCTATAATAAATTCTTAGTTTCGTCCCTGGTTCCATTAGCTTGCTATATGGAATTATTGTTTTATTTTGTCACATATATATAACTATTAAAATACATCATATAAAAAATGTTAATACATCATATGTTTAACTATTACAATAACGACATGAATCAATTTATCTAAGTGGTTAAAAGAATTATTGTTGTCCTTAGAGGTCAGGAGTTTAAGCATCAACGACTGCAGTAGAGTGATTGAGTGTTCATTGTCAAATGATTGAGATTATTTAAAACAAATACTAAATTGATCTCTTTTTTCACTTGGGAATTATAAATTGATGGACGAATGAGAAGTAGACAAGATAACTAAGCTTGGAAATATGTTTTCTCATTTACTCTTTTGTCTAAATAAAAACCATGATGTTTGTATCCTCAAAAATATGCACATTTGTTTGTTTGTCAGCCCGTTCGTCTCTCACGATTCCCAGTCTGAGACACTAAACCCTAGCTGAAATGTATAGACATTGGGATCGAACATGATGGAAGTAGCCATCGATCGAGATAATATATCAAATAAGATTATTGATGAGACTCGAATTTTAATACTTACAAAGTGAACTAAATCATATTCTTATGGTGAGAAATGGAACAGGGTCCATTGGTATTCCATCAAACCTTGTATGGGACACTTTGAAACACACTTTATATTCTCGAATAAAGTAACCATGTCCCCTAAATATTACAACATTTGCATGTGTTTTGTGAATATGTCTTCTGGATCAAACCCCCAAGCCCCCATGATTTTAGTCAAGAATAATTCATGTCATTTCCTAATTCATTATAAACAAGCAAAACCATTCTCAAAGTTTTCTCATTCAAGTAAGTCGTTTCCATTGTAGTTTTTTTGCAGAAGAATAAGTGAAAGAAAAACCAGCAAACACCTTGGAATTGTAAGTTGAATCTACCCTTTTCCCTTTCCTTGTTAGGTTTCTAACCCTAACCCCATATTCTTTGGCCTGCTTTTCCCATGGCCCCATTCTCCATTTCTCTTTCTTCACAGTGATTGCTTGAGTGACTGGATGTGATGTGTTTGAAAAATGTTAACGAGTGGCTGCCTGCCGTGGCTGCACTACAAATCCCACGTTTTTTCTCAGCCTGCGTGCTGCCTTTACCTTCTTTGTTCATATAGTTTCTTCAATTTCACTTTTTTTTCCTCCCATTTCTTCTTTCTCGTCGATATTGTTTTGCGTTTGTTTGATTTATTATGTAAGTTGCGTTTCTTAAATAAGTTATTGTCATGTGTTTGATTTGTTGATCTCTTCATCACGCTTCTCTTCCAGTTCTTTGCTTTAAATTTAATTCAAAGCTTAAAAAACACTGTTTGGTAGCAGAGAAAATAAAAAAACATGTCGAGCTCCAACAATTCTGCACCAGAACAACTCTGCTACATCCCTTGCAACCTTTGCAACATCATTCTTGCGGTATTTAATCTTGATCCTATACCCTTTTTATCTTCTTATTTAATGTGTGTGTATATATATATATATATGTATGTATTTAATCTCATATATCCACATCATCACCATCGTCATCATGTCAGCTTCTGTTACTGCATAACATAATGCTCCGTCTTCAGACGTTCAGTATATATATATATATATATATATATATATGAATAAACCAAAGTTGCTTTTCCAGTACTTAATCTCCTTATCCTCACAAAATAAGTTTATTTCATTTTCTGTGTTCATAACTTCAGAAGAGAATATTAATTTTTAGGGTTTTCTTGTAATGAAGTCAGGTCACTATCCCCAGACTTCTTTTTCTCATTCTTCTGCAGAAAAAGTCATAAACTCCATTGAATTTCCTCTCTTTTGCAGATCTTACCCTCTGATCTCAGTGAAGATATTGAAATTATGGATCTTTATTTTTTTTTTCAAAAGAAGATATAGAGAAAACAAGCATGTGATGATAGTTTCTTCTTTATGCACAGCCGAAAAGTTTTTTTTTTCCTCTTTTCCTTTTAATATAATGGAAAATGAAAGAGACTAGTTATGTCGTCTTCCTCAAAACCCCCATTTTCATGTAGGAAAGATGTTTGAAGTTGCCTGCCCTAAAAGAAAAAAAAATCAAAGTATCAAACAAAGCTCTAGATTTTGTGTACTGACTGGTATTTTAGTGAAGAAAAAAGCTTCAAATACTTCCAAAAACCCTTTATCTTCTTCTGTTAATGATTTTTTTGTTGTTGTTGGGGGGGGGGATTTAAAAGAAAATCCTGAATCTTTTAAGCTAAAATCTTCTCCGTGATTCTTGAGCAGGTGAATGTTCCATGCAGCAGCTTGTTTGAAACGGTAACAGTCCGATGTGGGCAGTGCTCCAATCTCTGCTCAGTAAACATGGCAGCTTCCTTTCAATCGAGGGCCGGAAAAGATATCCAGGTCAGGGTGCTCATATTTGTTTTTCCTTGTAGATCCCATGTTTCTGGGATTTTATCTCTTTCCGAGAAAATTTTTACAGATTTTCCTCGGGGTGTTGAACATCTAGGGTTTCCTTTTTCCAAGCCCTCATTCCTCTCGGACAAAGTAGTTGATTTGCAGAGCATCTTTTTATCAGATCGCTGAGATAAAAAACCTAGAAGCTGCTCTAAGTTAGTTAATTAGGGAAAAGCAAAATTCTAGGGTTTCCCGCTTCTTCATTAATTTTGCCATAATTCTAAAATGCTTTCACTTTGATTTTGACCGACATGAATTTTAGGGTTTATAGGTTTCCTGCACTACACTTTGTTTTTGAAAAAGTTTTCGTACAGGCTAATTTTGATTTTAAATTTGAAAATTCAATTTATATATATATATATATATATATAACTCACAAATTAAATTATAATACATACAAATAAAATAATACACTTTTTAATATTTTATGAATAAGTGAAATTGATCCATGATCATAAATTGAGATCAATAAGTTTAATGTAATTATTTTCATGCTTACATCGATTTATTTCGATCAATGATTGTGTAATTAGTTTTCCCCATTTAAGTATAGGAAAGTTTTTTAAAGAGGTCTCGTTCGATGGATTGTATGAGTTATCGAATATAAATCATACAATTTCCCTTTTCAAAAAATGATTGTGTAATCAGTTATACAATTCATTTGATTAAATTTATAATTATATTAAATTTATACTAATCAATAGCTGTAATTAAAATTTCATAGGTCCTTTTAATAGAAACTTCCTAAGTTTAAAGATAACTCATGTAATTACCAGATTAAATGTGTAATTTATTAAATAATTAATTGTATTACTCATTATATTATAGATCATAATTACATGATTAATTGTATAATTTATTAGACTAAAATTATAATTTATTTTATTATATTTATACTTTATATCAATTGGAATATATCATATTAACATCTATAAATATATAAAAAATGAATTATCCACTAAATAAACTAATTACTTTAAGTAAAAAATATAATCTAATGAATCATACAATCATACAAGTACATAGAATTATAAGAATAAACATAAATACATTAATATATTAATCCTCTAATTACAAATGCGATCTAATCACTTGTACGAAAGCAATGGCAATCCATTGATTAAATGTATTGATGAATTTCCATCAATGTAATTAGTAGCTTAATCAAATGAATTATTCAACTAATTACATAATCATTGATTGAATTGGATCGATATTAATATAAAAGTATTTTTTTGCTCGGTAAATATGATTTTTTATTAATAAAAATAAAAAAACGACAAGATAAATAGGATACCTCATTAAAAATCTCCTCAAACCTAAATGGAGGAAAATACCACATCCTATCCATTAATACAAGATCAGCATGAAACTACGTAGCCATAGACCCCGACGAATTCGACCACAACCCTACAAACAGAGTTAACCTATATTGGTTTGTTGATTGCTTTAGGTGCCTACCTACACCTCATCGGAGTACAGAATCGGCTCAGGGTCTTCCTCCAGATGCAAGAACAAGCAGCTAACGAAGCGGCCAACAAACATAAATACCACCACTCCAGAAAGGGTTGTTAATCGACGTAAGTATTGTTTGCGTTTAGTTCATTTTAATGATCCTATGAATTCTTGAGTTTAGGGTTGATTTTCTACTTATATTTCATGGACTATGATTTTCTCTCTTTTCTGCAGCTCCTGACAAGAGGCACAGGGCTCCTTCGTTGTACAACCAGTTCATCAAGTAATTTGATTATTACCTGTTCTGATTTTGTTGTGATTAATACATAATTATAAACTAAAGAAATTGGGATATCTTGATAGAGAGGAGATTCAAAGGATCAAGTTGGACAATCCTGATATCACCCACAGGGAAGCATTCAGCACCGCTGCAAAGAATGTAAGTTCAACTGGGGGTATAGGAAAAAATTGAAACCAACCCGAATTGTGAAATTATATACTAAACTGAACCAAAATCGAATCACAAAATAAAAAATCCAAACCAAATTGAATTGTATAATTTAATTCAAATTGATTTTTCAGTGTTCTTGAATTCATTACTCATCCCTAAGTTGAGCATCATGAAAAGCTTTTACTCGATTGACATCTTTACTATCATTTAAACATGTAATTATCTCTGTTTAAAAGACCAACATTTGTTTTTGTTTGTTTGGGTCCTCAACTGCAGTGGGCTCGCTTCCCTCGCATTCATTTTGGACTGATGTTGGAGACCGATAATCAACCTAAGCTCAATGATGTAAGTCCTTTTACGTATATATACACAAATTAAAGGGTGTTTATCGAGTGAGTCGATGGTGAATTGGACAATACTTAACTCATACTCGTTAAAAACTTTTGTTACTCGACTCGACTTGTTATTCGTTAAGCTCACCAACAGTTAAACTCGTTAAGCACCCCCTATACACATTCATTTGTTGAACATGCATATGTTCCTTTATCGTTTATTTTTCTTTCAATTTTCGCATGCAGGACTCAACTGAGCCATTCCATCAGCTGCTTAAGTGAATAAATGGCTATTGATTTTATAAGATCATTTTACTTTTATACTATATATTATATCCATAAATGTGATGTTGAAATAAAAGGCTTTCATTATAAGGTCTGCCTGGACTTGAATTTGCTTGTTTAAATGCGTTTGAACAACTTTACTTTATCAATTAATCTATGTCATGATTGGAGTTATTGCTATGAATCTGAGTTTTTGACAACTTTTTCATTATGTTAAGTAATCAGGGTGTGATTTATTTCTACAACACTTCACTATTTTTACATACAAGGCTTGGTAATAGGGTCTTTTAAAAGAGTGAGTACCGAACCATCAACTTCTCCGTAGTTAAAGAGAATATTCTTCTTTTTTGAGATTGTAGATTCGAGCAACTACGTTAATTTACAGTGTGAACATATTGTCAATGATTAAGAAATATTTTGAACAGATACTACTTTGTAATCATCTCAAATTAATAGAAAAAGATTAAGTACTTAGGGTTTGATTTTTTTAATTATGTTTGAGTATGATCTAATCAGATTTACTAAGGATAAGATCATGTTAGGTTGAGTTCGAGTTTAGGATGAAAATAATTGACTCTACTTAGAATAATAATATAATTGAGATTTATATATTTAGGGATTATTTTTGGAGGATTAATTATTATTTTTTAATATGAGATAAATATAAGATAATATCTATTTGAATAATACTTTTATTTATTTAACATTAAACGAATTCGACATTAACTGTTTTTTTATTTTTTTTAATCATTAACAGTTAGCGAAATTAATTTAATTTTACAAAAAAATTGTTATTTTTATTTTAAAATAAAAATATACAGAACGATATCACAGTAAAAATTAAAAAAATTACTATAAATTTGATAAATTTGTTTTACTTAAAAAAAAATAGAACTAAATGACATTTTAGGATTATCGATTCAAAGCAACCGAGTCAAGAATTATAACTGATCCCAACTCCCTCCAAACTAGATTTCACTCTCACCAGTAATTTACTGCCACGTCTCAATAATTCCCGTTCTTATTTGGCCTTCTCCGTTTTCGGTCACCGCTCTGTCATTCTTTCAACCGATTTTTTTCTTCTTCTGTACATTTTCTTAACATAAAATCTCCCCCTCTCTGAATCTCTTCTCTCAAACCAAATTTCACCGAAAACCTTTTTTCTTCTTTTTGAAGTCTTTGAAACGATGTCGTCTTCGTCGTCGTTTAGGAAAACCTCGTTCCTTTCACGGAGATTCTCGAGGTCATTAAGACTATCGACCAAAACGGCGGCGTTAACAACGACCTGGACCAGGGGGAATCTGCCGGAGTCTTCTGATTCGTCTCCGTCTTCTCCGGAGGATGGAGGGGATTCGTGGTCGACGTTGCTTCCGGAGCTGTTAGTTGAGATCATGGAGCGCGTGGAAGCGAGTGAAGAAATGTGGCCCGAAAGGAAGAACGTTGTTGCGTGCGCTTGCGTGTGTAAGAAGTGGAGAGAAGTTGCGAGAGAGATCGTTAGGGCTTCTTCTCAAAATAGCGGCAAAATCACTTTCCCTTCATGTCTTAAGCAGGTAATTCAAAAAAAAAAACTTTCCTTTTATTTTTAATTGAAATTGAGATATAATTTCATAACCTGGAACTAATGTTTTAAGGTAGTATTTAAATTTCATTAAGGTTTGAATATTTTTAGTTTAAGGCAATTTAAATTTTTTAGAATTTTTTATCCCAAAATTTGAGTATTTTGAATGTTTGCGAATTGGGATAATTTGTGGGGAATTGGTGTAAAAGTACTTTTTTTGGTTCGTTTGTTCCGGTTGTAGTTTATGGTAATGTCCTTTACTGATAGTTCTTATTGATTGATGCATTTTGGTATTGGTATTTAGTTTAGAATTACCTTGTGCTTCTTCCCTTGTTTGGGTTGTTTTGGAGAACTATACTAGGTATAGAGATTCCAAATTCGAATCAAATGATATTTTCTAACATATTTTGTCGATTGGGAGTTATTCTGTGAGGATTAGGTTTGTTTTCTGGGAACTGGTAACTATCAGACAATAATTTGTTTCAAATTAGACATTGAGAGCACATAAAGAAAGTAGAATTTCTATCTTTTGTCATCTTCAAGCGAATTCTCTTATTGCTTTTAGTTTGAAGTGGAGTTTTCAGAATTGATATGCTCCGTGGTTGCTGTTTATGAAAATAACATGCATTTAAGATTTAGAGTTGTCAATTCATGAACAAGTTAGCAAGTTTTGGAGTTGATGGTTTTATTCCCTTTTGCTAATGCAGCCTGGTCCGTTGGAGTTTCCAAACCAGTGTATTATAAAGCGGAACAAAAAAACTCAATGTTCTTCCTTTATCTGGCTCTTTCACAACCATGTAAGTATTTTTTTTTTTTTCATAAGCAAAACATGACGAGAATGCATTAATTAGACTGATATGCTGAATACATGCTGAAAAAAGGGTTAAAAGGGACATGATCCGCTTTGTCAAAGCTTTTAAATTGACCTTAGACTTCCATCTAGGTAGGTGCGAAACTGTGGATTTCTAATCTGATACCTTTGACCAAGTCAGTTTGAGTTGGTTTTAACCTTTCAAAATCTCTATAATTGTTTAGACTTTAGACAATGATTTTCAATCTGCTTAATGGTCTTACACACCCATTGGCTTCAAAAGGGCAATGAGATTTCCTCTGCACCTGTTTCTTTTTTATTCATGACACATTATCATCTTAGGTTGGGCTTTTTCATGTGATGATATAGGGCTACCCACCATATTCTTTGAAAACAATATATGCTGGCAGTTGCTAACTTGTTGCTGTTGTGTTACTAGAACTTATCCACACTGTGTTTTATCCAGTCTGTGAAGGGTGTGGAGACATCTCCTGTGCTTTTTTCTTGAAAGATATCCTGTTTATTGACTAATGGTACTTCTAATCTGTATTCTATTACACTGAGCCACTGAGGACTGATTGCTGCATGCGGTCAGGTTTTTCTTTTCCTTTTTTTTTAATTTTTTTTTTGTTTTCTGGGATAGCCTTGTAATAGGCGTAGCAAAATCATTACTGTGGTTTGTGAGAGAAGATACAGGTCGGTAAAAATTTTGGCATGTTTCAAGTTTTTGGTCTCACTGGTCTTTAGGTTTGGTGGCATTATATACGACGTGATGACAGGATAATATCTGTGTTGCGAATGTTGCTGTAACACAGGCTTATGAAGCTATTGCTCAAGTCGTATGGATCTGATCTTTGCCTCTTCTCAGTTTCTTCTTTCTGGAAGCAGCAAATTTGGGCAACGGAAAACATGCAGGATAGGATAACAATGATTTGCTTCCTTTTGGTTATATATTTAACAGTTCACTTACCAAGACTACTGAGTTCAACGTCTTGTTTGCCTTTTGGTTTTACACCTTACATATCTTTTGTTTATAAACTAAGACATTTTTGTCTCTGTTTAGTTTTTCAGAGCATGTGGTAGGGTTCACAACGGTTCTCTTTTTTTTTTCCTTTTTTGTCCAACATGCAACTGAATGACGCTTCTCTTTTTTTAATAATTATTCTGATTTTTATTTTGAGGAGAAGACGATGCTACTTGTTAGTGGTTGAAATCTACCTTCTCAATATTTCCTGATGTTTGGCAGCATTCATCGACAAGGGAAAGTTTCTATTGGCAGCACGAAGATATCGACATGGTGCTTATATTGAGTATATTATATCCCTTGATCCAAATGAACTATCTCGAGGCAGTAGTGCCTATATTGGGAAGTTAAGGTACGAGACTCAAATCTTGTATCTCTTGCTGCAACTCTGTTTACAGGATATGCTTAGTGGATATGGTTTTGATAGAAGTATAATTTACATTGTATACTTTTAGGGGACAAAACTTTCCTTTGTTGGCCGTTAAAAATATTTCAGGATCTTTAAGGAACAATGTTTATGATGCCATTGCTTTCTTGTCTTGTTGCGATAAAAATCAAATCTTTATAGTTTATAGTTCGGTTTATAATTTTTAGCTGACACACAAGTTCGAAATCTTTGTAGTTCGGATTTTCTAGGTGCAAACTTTAAAATCTATGATAGTCAGCCGCCACACAGTGGTGCCAAGCCCTCGAGCAGCAGATCAAGTTGCAGATTTGCAAGCAAGCAAATCTGCCCCCAAGTTCCAGCTGGCAATTTCGAGGTCGGGCAAGTGTCTTACAAGTTCAATCTATTGAAATCAAGAGGTCCCAGGAGGATGGTTTGCTCGATACAGTGCCCTTTTCCGGATGATATGATCGATGATGAGCATCTCGATAACATGAAGATGAAAATGCCAGAGCATGCCGCATCCGGTCATACAACTTTGAGGAACAAAGCTCCGAGATGGCACGAACATTTACAGTGCTGGTGCTTGAATTTCCACGGTCGAGTAACCGTAGCATCTGTGAAAAACTTTCAGTTGGCTGCAACCGTGGAGCAGAGCCAATCGGGAGGGAAAGAAGAGGAAGAAACTGTTCTCCAGTTTGGTAAAGTAGGCTATGATACATTCACCATGGATTATAGGCATCCCTTGTCAGCTTTTCTTGCTTTTGCCATCTGCCTTACAAGCTTTGGTACAAAACTGGCTTGTGAGTGATAGACGTATATATTATTAACAAGTTGTTGTGCTAAATGTTTAATATAATGTTTTTTTTTAATTCACTTTCAAGAATTCTAGACAGCCTTGGCATTATGAGACGAAACAAATCATGTACATGTTCTCTTGTAGCTAATAACATTTACTGAAAATATTGGCTGCAAACATGTCTCTGTTAATATGGTGTAGTTACATCAATTTGAAAGTACTTTATGCAGTTGAAAAATTAGCAAACGAATCCTTTCTTTAGGAAATACTGGGGAAAATTGGTGACAAAATCATATGATTAGTTCTATTTGGTTGTTATTGTTAACTCTTATTTTTTGGTCTTTTGCATCGGTAGCATTGAATATGATAAAGCGAGCAAAACTCGACTCAAAAAATTTATTTTTTTAATTTCGAGGTATTCGATTTGAGATTTTCGAATCAACTGGAATTATCAATTCGATTTTCGAGTTCGAGTTTAACTTTTGAAATTTCGATTTACACGAAAATATCTTACTAGGTATTTTGATAGTTTTACAATTAGTACCTAATTTTATTATTCTTTCAACTCCTTTACTTTAAGTCTCTCTCTCATTTAGTCTCTTAAC